TAAAGCAACAAATTCTTCACTTAAAGATTCTTTTGCTAAGCCAACTAGAATGAAACCAATATGCAAAGATGAAATATCTATTGTACTGCAACACTTCTAACCTAATTACATAGTTTAGGGACCTATCTCATGAGAGTTCTGTAAGGATTATATTATATATATATGTTAAGTTACTTGCATAGAGTCTATAACATAATTAATACTTAATAAATGACAGTTATTATTGACAATGAAAATGGCAAGTTAATGAAATTCATATTTTTGTGTGTGTTAATTCTATAAGCAATTCCCTTCTCTGATTACTTAACATATAATCCTGACTTGCCATTGCCTGAATACAAACACTGCTTCCAAACAAGTTTAATAAAAAAGAGTAGTATTCAAATACAAAACTAATTCATTCACTAATCAAGCATATGGTCAAAGATACCTCCGGTACATAGAATCAATAAACTAGAAACTTGGAGGGGGAAAAGTGAGTACTCAAACACTACTTCCTTCCAGTCAAGGAAAAGACCCAGCATGAATACCGGCAAGAAGTGAAACCCTCCCCTTGGAACAATGACTAACAAAGCCTTGCTTGGGAAAATAAAATACAAAGTTTACATCAGGTAATAAACTTTTGTCTTACCTGCTTAACTATTAAAAATAAATAGCAAAATGGGATTAGGAGTTTGCAGGCTAGACAAACTCTAATATAATAACATCAGCATTTTTTAAGCTGATAAAAATGAAATTTCTTTACAAGCAAAGCAGATTTTGCCAGGAGAGGTAAGTACATAATGCTGAGATCCTCAAGAGCCCAAGGCCATTCCTTTCCACTGGTTTAGGTTCCACACTCATTTTCCATTCCCCCAACAATCCTCAGTAATCTGAAAGTCCTCTAGTAAATACACAATGTCTGATTGGTCTTGAGCACATTCGGTGTATGTGTTTGGTTCCAATGCTCTACCTGATTTGAGGTGAATTCATTTGACATCTGTGAACTCAGAAAGCAGGTTCCCAGATGCTTGTGGAGGGTTGGTATCCTTACAACACATTCGCCTTCGGCAAAAATGTATTTCAATATAATTATAGTAGATAGCTTTCAATATGTCATCTCTATTATAGCAGCTATAAATTATGAAGTGAATTGCCTGTGTACAAGCATTTCTTCTGGTACAAGCAAAGTGGGAGAGCTGCATAGGGCATGATATATCTTTTCTGTTTTAACTGAGAACAAATGTCTAAGTCAAATTTCATTTGCAAATACCAATGTGTCCATTTCCCTTTGGTAGAGAGGTGAAGGAACCAAGAAGGCCTTCAATTCTGAAAAACAGGCTTCTCAGAACCCTTGGTTAAAATTCTTTAAGAATTCACCTATTCTAATAGTTCGGCCTTTAATCATAAGAGCATATTTGAAAGGTAATGTAAAAGCATTTTTCAAAACTTTTAATTCACGAGAAGGCAAATAAGCAATCAGGTTTTTGTCCAACTAAAGAGGGAGGCAATGCACCCAAGACAAGTAGTATGACAGTTGCTGCAAGCTCTGGAAAATTGTCATATTTCTATTTGGTGTCCGGATCAACAAGAGAGAAGTAAAATAGTTTTGTTTCCTTTGGGGGTGTAATCATATTCAAGAATCTCATTCTAATATATGTTCTATTGTTTATACTATATTCTAATGTTTAGCCGAATATTTCAAAAGGGTTTATAAGTGAATTTAGATGATTATCACTAAAAATAATTACAGCTAAGCCTATGTAATGGGGACATATAATCAAAAGACATTTTATAGAGAGAGAGAAAAAAAAGAGGGCAGTATATTAAAGATAGCCATTCCTTAAACACACATAAAACAGAGCCTTGCAGTTTGGATTTAATTCTGCTCAAACTGTAGCTCTAGCTGCTTAGCTTTGTAAATGTGGCTATGTTTATAAGGCACTTTAATTTATGGCAGTGGTAGTGTGTGTTAATTTTATGGCAATCTAAATCTAAACAGGCTTCAGATACATTTTCATTACAGCTTCATTGCAAAACACAGTAGAGTGAATAGCTCTAGATTCCAATGTAGTTTATTTCTTTTAATAAAAGACTCAACACAATTTTCGGATAAAGCTTCTGCCTTACTTAACATATATGTTCTTCCTATTTACTAATAAGCCTTCCATCACTCAGAATACCCGTGTTCACTTTTAGGAGGAAAAATATAATTTCTGCAAAGTGATTAGAATAGCTGTGTTTTATATTTTCATCTCTACTCTGATCCCATTCCAAATGCAATCCAACATGGGCAAATCAGAAACAAACAAACAACCAGAATGTACCTGAATTATTTTTCAATTCGACATAAGTAGCAGCATAATTCGATGAAAAAGGCAGTCATATTGTCAGAAACAGATTTCAATGCCTGATTCTAACACTAACTACATGTATGACACTGGACAAATAACTTAACCTGAGTCTCATTTTCTCATCTGTAAAATGGAAATTATAATACTATCTACTTTAGAAATGTCACCACTTCACCTCAGATAGTTCTACTTAGGCCATAGCAATTTCAAAAGATATCCCTGAAAGGTTTACACCAGATAAGGACCTGTATTTCAAAGATTAAAAAAAAAAAAAGAAAAAAAAGAAAAAAGAAAAGTTGACTATCTTATGTTAAAACTCACAGAAGAGCTAAAAAGCCATCCCAAAGACAACCCAAGAGAATTAAATGCCACTGATATTTCTAAAATAATTCAGAACCTACAGAAAATGGATGAGCTAAAATTCTGTCGAATCAGCCAACTAGTCACCATATTCAATTTATTTACTTGTCCTAAATACTGCAATGACTTTACTTATCTATATTTTTTTCATTCTGAAAGTGCTAAAAATGAAAAAAAGAAACAGATATCTAAGTAGTTATCAGGCTAATAAATATATCTAATAATAAGGTTCATTACTATATTCTAACTCATTATTTCCCAATATAATCTTTAACCCAAAAATACTTAGTGCAGATTAATTATAAATAACTTGTATGTATATGTGTATTTTCAAAGCACAAAAAAAAAAAAAGCCCAAACCCTTTGACACTGACTGACTGATGCCTGCCTCACCCAACTTCCAGCAGGGCTATAGAAAGGAAATAAGGAGGACAATGTGAGGAGATATGGTAGGAGACAGTTAGGAATCATCTTAATTCCTCAGCCAAAAAAGTAGAGCCATTGGCCCAATACTATAGATCTTTTCCTGCAAGGTGCCTGGTGGTGTTTCTTTAGTAAGTACAGATAGATATATTCAACATAAAGTTATGCAATTAGGATATTGCTACAAATCAGAGCCATTTCTACTGTTTATGCTCAGGGCAATCTTTTCAACCATGACTTATTTTGTTTACTCTCAATTATTTATATGTCAAATCAGAAAGTTCCATTTTTTTATGTACATACAAAAGATAATTTTTCTAAAATTCTTATTTGCACATTTTCCACTAAAAATTATTCCTATATATGAGACTAGAGATGGTTTGAGATCCCAGAAAGTCCTATTCAGAAAAAAATGCATAATAGCTTATAAGATTAATTTATATTGTATTTTAACATAGAACTACATAAATCTTTCTACCCTCCCTAAAAACACATTCACCTCTGGGACAGAATGCAGCATTTGCTTAATACCACCACAGCCAGCATATTAGAGAAGGCAATGAAAAAAACTAACATATACAACTGAAACTATACAGGGAACTTATAATAGAAGATAAATCAGTATTAAAACTGGCCAGGACTGCCACATTACATTAAGGTGTTTGGACTTTAAGACATATCTGACTACATAGTGAATTATTTATGAGTGAAATGGTATGGTGTCTAAGACTGCTTTAAAATACCCCACACACAAAAAAAGGGGGGGGGGGTGAGGGAGAGATAGACAAAATAAGACTGACAAAATGTTAATATATATTTATCTGGGTGATAGGTATATCTAGGCAATTCCTTATTTTAGATTTAACTATAAAACAGCCGATTGACAACTGCTTTTTGACCTAAAAACTTGGCAATTTATAGGATTTGACTTAATAATATTCTCTTTATTTGGGGGTACATTTAAACATTTCTACATAATGTTTTCTTTAATTACCTTCCAGTGAAAATCCCTCAAACTCCAGGTTTTTAGGCTTAAACTAACAACTAAAATAAGTTCAAAATGAACCATCAACATTTTACCTTCTTTCATTGAATCTAAGAGTTATTTATTTTCCTCCACATTTTAATATCTCTGAAGTTTGGAACCATTTCACAACCAATGTTATAGTTAAATTGGGCAGTGTTAATTTTTTCTTGTGGTACATAAAGCAATGATACAGCTTAAAAACAAAGTATCTTAGACTCAATGAAATATGGTTAATAAAATGGCTGAGAATAGCATTTTTAATCAGTAATAGAATACTCTCTAATCAGGAATTTCGCACACAATGGCTAGTATTCCCTGCCCCAGGTTAATTATCTTGGGTGGTCTCCTCAGAGAGACTGGCCAGAACCTGCTTACTTTGTGAAGTTAGCTCCCTCCCCTATAGCCTGGCACAATTCATAAGAATCCCTAGGAGGATTCTGGAACTCCCCGCACAGGAGGAAAATCTCACTCTGCAGTGCTTCCCTTTAAAAGCCATCACAGCTATGAACAAGGCCAGTGCATAAATGTTAATGATACAAAGCTATGAAGAGCACAAAATGGTGAGTTTGGAGAGGAAGGATGGTTGCAGGTGAAGTATAATAGTAAGGGCACATGAATGTGAGGAATGAATATAGCTAAAACAAGTAGATGGGATAAAATAGCTTAGCTTCACCTCTGAAACCTCAAAGGGACTTCGTTTCATGAATCCAACAATTCACTTAGATTTTAGCATTGACCTTATTTATTTTGTTCTTTGTGTTAACACCTACCCCTCACAGCCCTCAGAATCGGTTAGCGCAGTCTAATAGCAGAGCAATAGAGGTTTGTGCAGGACTATGAGAGTGGCGGCTGCTGACCTGTTCATATTTCTCCAGTTCTGTGTGATAGATTTGTCTGATCTGGGTCAATTTGGCTCTGTAATCTGAGTGTTCAATAGAGTTATCTGAAGAACCTCCAGAGGCTGCCGCGGCTGCAGCTGCTGCCGCCGATCCCCCACCTTTCTCAGGACCTGAAACCCCTTCTGCCAAGAGCATATTGTCCAGTCTCATTAGCTGGGGATCGGGAGGGTCCTCCTCCTGGGCTCCTCTGATGCTGAGACCTTCAAGGAGAGAGAGACAGAGAGAGAATAAGCGAGAAACAGGACAAACAGTGTATTTTATTTATTTGAGAAAATGTTCAAACAACATCAGTGCACTGTAATTCATGGAGCATTTCATTATTCACACTTTATCAATAAGCCTAACTATGGAAATTCTTTTCACGATAATATTGACATGCATCCCAAAATTTCTAAGATCACCCCTTCTCAATTTACTCCAGATTGGATCCTCTGGATCCTTAAAAAAAAGGTAGCCTTGAGTTCCTGACATCCACTCTTCCCAGATTTAGGTGATTTAAGAATAAAATGTGAAGAGGGTTAAAAATTTGGGATTTTGAGAAAGAAAAAACATCATCCAAGGATATAAAACCCAATGAAAGAAATGTGGTTGTTCTGTTTCTCTATACAGCTAGAATAACAGATTTTAAAATCTCATAGAATAATTAATCCACAAGCTATACCCAAAAATTAAAAAATAAGCAGGATCAGATGAGCTTCTCCATTGTGTAATTTCAGGGGGAGAAGAGAAATACATATATGATGAGGTAATTAGCTATGCTTTAAAAAAAATTATATATATATATATATATAATTTTTTTAATTAAATGCCTTGTTTAACCAATTGTCAACTAACTATAAAACCAGGACACTAATAAATACAGTATTAAAAATGTACCATCAACATGGCAATACGGTGCCGGGCACAATAGTCTCAATCTAATTTTGCTTTTATATAAAGAACTTCCTAAGTGATGCCCAGTCAGCACCTCATCGGAGCACTATAGATCACAGCTGACAATCCGTAGGTTTAATCAGGTCACACAGGCTTTCTGCCAAGATGTTTTCAACAACACTGAAGACAAAGTTTTAAAATAATTATCATGGTATAAAAAAGCACTGGAGTCATGACAGCTCAAAATCACATTTTCATTAATGTGTAACGTAATCTAAACTCTCCCAGCCCCGTTAACCTCTGGAAACCTGTCTAAAAGCGGGTTCTTCACAAGGCATCCTGGGGAAGGAGGGAAAGGAAGCTGGCGTCTTGCATGTCTGCATTTGGATTCTGCATTCTGCATCTGTGCCTGTTGTTTATCCACAGTGGTGCACACTCTGTGTCTGGTGTGACTTACATGACAGTAACATCTATAAGCTGCCAAGTACTCAGCTGAGCACCAGCTCTGCAATTTTATGTGCTAACCTAAAACTATCATCAATTCTTTAAAGAACAGATTTCATTCCTAGATGTCCTGAATTACGCCCACAGCAGGAGAGAGCTCTTGGTTGTCTTAACTCAAATGCACAACTTTAATTTCCTCCCTCAAAACACTTTAAAGCTGTCACTTTCATTTAAAAATATACTTCAGAATAATTTCAACTGGGTAATAAAACTAACTCAAAATAATTTAAAATTATGTCAGTTGCCTGGAGAGGAAAACAAATAAGGTATGGAAACTATAATACACTAAGACAATAATTCATTTACGGAACCAAAAAGTTGGGAGCCCCTTAAATAAGATAAAATCAGTATCAGCACATTGCTGATCATTAAAGCTATTTCTTCTAGATCTGGAAGAAACTACCAAATATTGGTTACACTGGTATTTTTAACATCTTTCACTTTCTTTTCTTCCAATTCATTTTATTAGATGGTAGAATCTCAAAGCCCAGACACACTTGTAGTCCCACATACCGTGTTTTTTTTTTTTTTTTTTTGTGCCTTTGATATGCTGTGAGGACTCACTGAGCTACCTCTTATCTGACACTTCAGGCTGTTTCACTTTCTATTATTCATTTGGGAGTTCCTTACATTTCTCCTTTTTAAATTAAACTTTTGCTCACATTTTGTGTTTGTTGGTTCTATACACATACACACACACACACACACACACACACACACACACACACACACGTACAGATAATGGTGCTTCTCCTGGAAATGGGTTTCATCTACCTTCAAAGTTCCTTGGGCTTCTAGTTTTACCCTTGTACTTATATTTATTCATCTTTTCTTATGGACATTTGGGGAGGTTCTTTAATAGTAGATCAACATCCATAGACAAAATTTTTACATTCCCTGACGTGTGTGGGACACAAGAGAAGATGCTCAATGGCTAATACACAAGAAAGCAGGGAGACAGAAGAAGGAAATTCGTCAGGAAGAAATGCAAGATACAAATTAATTAGCCATCTACTGCACTTCCATACGTACCTAACATGCATATAAACCAACACCACCATACAACTGGAAGCAACTCTTAAACTCAATAGTAGTAAACACAAAAAAAAAGAATTATAAGTACGTCTTGTGACAAACAATATCTCTTTTAAAATCATAAGTAAATCAACACTTCAGTGGTTGCTTCAAATACAGGAAGAATATTTTAATGTAATCTTTCTGTATTTGCTTTATAAATTATGTACATCAAATCTAATCAGAAAAATCATTTCTTGACAAAAAGTTCACACTCCTATAAATGAGAAGTCAGAGTCACACATAGCTTCCAATCATAACACCTACTCCCCTAGGCACCTATAAACATTTTAATGAACCTAAGTTTGCAAGGGGCAGAATGAATAGAACTATGTGGTTTTCAAAAGATCTTGATATCTTCAAACTAAAACTTGGGAAAACAATAACTTGAAATAATTTTTAATCCAAAACGTAGACATTTATAGAGATTTATAAAGCTATATATCTAGGCTTGGTTATCACAGAATTATGAAGTTTAAAAAAAAAAAAAAAACCCGCCCTATTTGCAATCTACTTATAACCACAACATTCATTTCAGTATCCCTAAGATTTAGACAAATCATACAAACACAATAAAACATTGTTTAACAATGAACTTGGCTTTGTTATAAACCCATAGTTTTTGCATATCTTTCAGCAAATCCTAATTAGCTGTCTTTCAACATGCTGTGCACCTGCCCCACAGATAATGGGAAAGAGCATCTGCATAGATGACTGCATTCAGAGGGCAATAAATAAATTACGGGTCAAAATTATTACAAAGCTTCCTCCAAATAAACGCATACCCTTCACAATACTAAGCTGCAGATGTGAAAAGTACCTAAAGCCCACTCAAATGGTATGATTATGGGGCTGTTGGAGTTTAATAATCTGACTGTAATTCAGGCATTTTCAACAGCTCATTAAGGGTTCATTAATATATAGGCAAGCTTTTGAATTATAAATAAGCAGATTAGAAATCTGCAGTGGCTGAACTGTACAGTAGTAGCCTCTCTAGCAGAACATCACTGTAACACGAGGAAGGCTTGACCTGAGAAAATGAGGTGCAAATATAGGGCTTCGCAGCTTCCTCATTTCAAAGACCAACCCCACTGGATCATGAGTAACTTCTGCTCATCCAGGACTGAAGAGTGGCTGCTGCAAATGCGTGCCACACATGGCCATGAATTAGGCACTAATTAAGATCTAGCCCAACAATATTTCCACAATCAGAGAAGATGCACAATATCCACAGTAATGATAAAGAAAAGTCACCGCATCATTTTTACTTTGTAAACAGTACATTATTTAGGCCTGCTGTGAAACAAAAAGCTATTATGGAAACTTGAGTTGTTTGATTTCCCCCCCTAATGAGCATGCCATAAAAGTAGGTCTCAAATTATTCATAGGCCTAAGCCTTTGAAATCTTTATAATTTTGTTCTCTGATGGACTTCCTCTTGATTCACTTAACTGCCATACTAGTCTTAGGAAAATGTTTAGCAGTATCATGTAAAGCAAGGCCTGATCAGATATTTTTGGCAGGCCCTGAATTCTTGACTACAGTGAAACCAGTGCCAATTCTAATATTTTCTGTGTGTGTGTTTTAATTGTCTATAGATTTTATTTTGTGGCTATTTAAAAATAACAAGCAGTATTGTGGTCTGACAGTATACAAAGATGATAAAACACCAACTTTACTTTCTGTTTTCTTCATTTTAAAATCCAGTAAGCCACAGTTTGAGAAACATAAACTAAATTATAGAAAAAGAAGAGAGATTAATACAGATGTGTTGTTACTTTTCTTCCCAAACCTTAAAAAAAAAAAAAAAAAAAAAGGCAAAATAATTTTCCGCCTAATATCCGTAAGTAACGAAGAGCAGTTAGAGTATGAAACAGAAGACCTGGAAATGAAATGAAGGTCACAAGCCCCATGGTTAGAAAACCTCATTTGAAACAATTACTTTTGGTTGTGCAAACTGGAATACAATTTGGAAACAGATAAACAAACTAGCCGGGACCGGTTTGGCTCAGTGGGTAGAGCATCGACCTGCGGACTGAAGAGTCCCGAGTTCGATTCCGGTCAAGGGCATGTGCCTTGGTTGCGGGCACATCCCCAGTGGGGGGTGTGCAAGAGGCAGCTGGTCGATGTTTCTCTCTCATCGACATTTCTAACTCTCTGTTTCTCTCAATTCCTCTGTGTAAAATCAATAAAATACATTAAAAAAAAAAAAAACCTGAAAAATCCCGCAAGGTGCCATTATCTAAACTAGATTTGATATGGGGATGGAGAAAGGGAGATTGGGTTCTCAGACAAACAGCGAGTGGATTAGAGATAAAGCTAAGGAGACAAGACCAAGTAGAGGTAAGGCAGTTGCTTAAGTGGAGTCTGATTGAATGAGAGACCCAAAAAGCAAAAAATAAAAAAAGCCACTTGAATGATATCAGCACCTCCTAAAGAAAGATCTGGAATAATATATGCACCTAAATTTCATGCTGTCCTGCTTAACTCTAAAGATAAACATAAGACTTGTAATGAAAGGGAAGAATCATATTATCTTATAGATATCAGTAGAAGCAACTGAAAAAACAACTAATTTTTAAAAAATTATGAGAAAATGACAGGTGATAGAGTTGCCTATCACTATCCGTCCCCATGCCCATCCCATTCTGACTCCAAATCTCCTTTTAAGCCAGTGTTAGTGTCTAACCCACTGCATATGGCAGTCATATTACAAGCTAATGTCACTTTCACTCCTATTTAAGGTGACT